ATATATATATATATAGTGAGTCCTCCATGATCGTATCAATGACAAAATTGAGGAGGGTGAATGAAAGAGAATAGTCTTTGCTGACACCACTTGATGGCGTCAAGTGAACTCAGGCGAGGACTTCCCATAGACCTTCATGTGCGGGAGTTGGTCTCCATGATCGTATCAATGACAAAATTGAGGAGGAAATGTGAAAGAGAATAGTCTTTGCTGACACCACTTGATGGCGTCAAGTGAACTCAGGCGAGGACTTCCCATAGACCTTCATGTGGCCGCGGGAGTTGGGATAGGGCACCTTAATAATGGTTAAGAATTTATAAGATCGTAAATCGTTCAGCTGTAACACCCTTCCGGTGCCTAACTGCCAATCTACCAGAAGGAAGCACGAGGGCCAATATACTGCCAAATTGTTCAATCCTAGGCACGGGAAGTCGAGAGACGGATGTCGGATTCGAACCACGACCTTTTGGTCAGTAAACGGGCGCTCTAAATACTGAACCACCTTTGCGCCATAGTACATGACGGTCCACAGTGTCAAAGGCAGCTTTCAAATCAAGGAATACAACCATTGTTGTTTGGTTCAAGCAGTGTTGCTCTTCCAGAATCTGTCAGTGTGTGAAGATGTGATCGATCGATCCTCTTGAGGACGGAACTCAATCTGGTTTTCTCTAATCTCTCTCTCCCTGTGTTCATTCAATCTTCGAAGAATAAGACCAGAGAGGACGTTTGATGCCACAGCTCCAGGCTGATGCCATCGTGGTCTTCCTACAGCACGCGCGTACCCTTTTCGAAGACATGCTCGATTCTTCAGCCAATTACTGATCACTCTATGTCGCATCAGGGAGTTTTGCTAGATAGGTCACTGGGGTTTCTCCGCTTTCTTTGAAAAGAGCCTGATGCACAGTGTTTGGTCCTGGTGCCTTCTTACGTTTAAGTAGGGATATTTCGTACTTTATTTGTTCCGAAGGGCGATTAGGATTTACATTCCATTCACCCGTATGCATTTTCAGGGTTGCAGAATGCTAGCTAGAATGTTCTTCGAAGTGTTTGACTCATCTCTTCGGTAAACCTTTTTGCGAGTGGATTAACGAGCCGCCTTTGTCACTTGCCGATTCACTAACCGCTGCTCTCGTTGAGTCAGTTGATCGTATCGGTTGATAGAGGGCACGGCTGTAGCAAAAGCCTTCTCCATCTCCTGAGCTTTCGATATCCACCAGAGCTCTCGGTCTTTCCTTAGATTCTTCACTAATTGGCGTTTGAGGGATTTCCGCACGCCGTCGGATAGAGACTTCGACGATATCCAATGACAATGTGGTCAAATCGGAGGAGTCAAACAGACAGTACTGAACGTCGCTAACACAGCTCCTTTCACATTTAGGCAGCCTTCATCCACGTGCTCGCTACCAGTACAGTATCCGTTTACTGTGAAGAGTTGGGATAGCTCAGATAGATACTGTCGAGCTGTGGTAGTTCTTCAGGGATGATGGATCGGCATGTTTCTTGCTGACATATGAGGACCTGAGGGAGGGCGGGATTTTCAGGTGTGCACGCACTATGACATGATCGACATCAAGTTGTGTCCCAGTAATAATGGCAGTCTCGGACTGTTGCTCTCCACCGGTGACTGATGGCCACGTGATCCAACTGGGTGCATGGCTGACTTGCACTTGGTGGCCACCAGGTTACTCGATGCGGGCGTTTATGCTGAAAGTTCGTACTGGCCAGAAACAGTTCATGATCAGCATACAACTGGAGGAGTCGCTTTCCGTTGTCTGTCCGATAGGCATAGACTCCCAATCGACCGCCAAATGCGATTCAAAGGAGCTCATAAGACCCACTTGGGCATTCATATTGCACGCAAGTATCACAGTGTCGGTGCTTTTGGCTTGACGAATGAGCCTGGATAACTCGATAGGAAGCATCCTTCTCAGCATCAGAACCGGACGGCACAAAGACGACTGTTCACTGGGATCCAATACAGCAAACTGCGTTCAGCTCTGGGGCTTAGTGTAACTCCCACAATATGTATTCCACGAGCTATCGCTTCTGGATCGGCGGACACAGAGGGAGAAACTTGAAAGACCTGAGTTCGTCCTTGGCGTTCTGCGATTCATAAACATACTTGGGTCTTGTATGCGTACATCAATTTTAAGCGAGTATACGGTTTCAGCGAGTCGTCTGTTTGCCAGTCTGACATAGAGTTCGGGGGTTAAAAGCTCTTATGTAGAAAGGATCCCGTAGATTAAGAAAGATGTTATTTTGTTTATTAGTAACAAGGAGCTGGGAGCATAAGGCCTTTCGGTCAGATAACTGACAATCAGTTGGGCCAGTGACGTTTGTTTGTGTGGTATGAAAGGGTTGAGGAGGGGCATCGGTAGACAGAACTGTGCGGGCAAATAATACTTCCCGGTTTCTCAGGCCGAAGATGGGGATTTGGTTGAGGAACCCAACCTCAAGCCTTTTACTCAAAAGCCTGACCCTCAAGACAGTGGAGCGATGTAGGATTTTGTTCCGGAGCCCTTTCCCTGGCCTCTGACCCAAAGGTCTGACCCGCGAGACAGCGAACAATAGGGTTTTCTTTGGGAATCCTGCCCGGAGCCGATGACTCAACAGTTTGACCTGCTCGGTTGCAGGGGGCTGGCCTAACCCGAGGGCACAGGGTGTAGGGCATTACTGTCTCACTCCTGATATGGCTTCACACAACAGGTGTTTTAAAAGTACTTCAACCTTATTGAATAATTCGCCGGTGGTCACGGTCAACCGTTTGGCTATCGGAGTGTTTTTAGAGCCGTTCTTTTCTAACCCGTCCTTCCTCGGGGGGAAGGCAGCATTGCTGCTTCCATGAATATGGATGTGCTGGTCGCCTGGGGGAACATTTTACTTCCTTTACACTCCTATCGCAGAGGACAGTACGACTTTACTCCCAGATCGCCATAATTACTCTCGCTGCTCTTGGTCTGACTGCTTCCCTTAGGCCTTCTTGGCATGGTTTCACCTTGCGGAACGAAGTTCCAACCAGTGTAGCCCGCGAGGTCATTACGGCACTCAAGCCCGACCACCACTTCTAGGCGACAGCTTTAGGTCGGGTCAGCTTTACGGAAGCCTTGCTTCGTTGTAGAGGGATTTTCAGTTTTTCGTTTTATTCGTTGATTAAAAGCCCACTTGGTCCCCTGTCATACACGTTTAACTGACTGTTCTGCTTTTTCAGGGCCTAACTTACTCTGACCATATGACTCCCCCGTTAATACTGGTAGTGACCTAGTTCATCTTTCGGAATGGAGAAATCCTATCTGTTTTGGCATTTTTAAACTTAGTTTTGATGTTTCATGCCTCTGGTGTTTTGAGGCAAGTTCCTTCTGTTTTTCACTGTTTTTATGTGTAGCAAACAAACGTTCTTCCACAATGTTGTGGCTTGATATACACCATTTGCAATTGACCGTGTGTAGACTAATAATACTTGATCTGGCCGTCCGGTAGCGCTTTCTAATCTTTATTCTCTCGCCCCAGATTGTCTGTCCCAGTGCACATGTTACCTTCAGTTTACCTTTTGGCGAAGCGTTTGGGCATTGAAGAAATGCAGAGACCCTGCGCTGAGTATTTGGCGGACCACATTACTATTGGAAATGTCGGTCGTAAGTAATCATCTGTTTACTTTTACTGTCGTTTGTTTGACACTTTCTCCGGAGAATTTCACTGCCACTGTACCTTGTAGCTCCTTCGTGGGTTTGTTGAATGCCAAATATAAGCTCCTAGCGTTCAACATGTATTATACGTTGACCTTTTTCATCTCCATGTCAATAAGAATTGGACATGACAGCCAAGTACTGATTTTCCACATTTATTCTGCTCTTACTCATGATGTCGATAATGACTAGGAGTGAGTCGACTTTGTACACGGTTCGTCGATCGGTATTTGCAGGTCATTTTACAGAATTTCACTGACGGGATTGAGAATGAAATGTGGGCTCACAGGGTAGTTTTGGGCTGGCTACAAGTAAGCCTGAAAGAATGAGTTGGCAAGCCGTTTGCTGATAATGAGTTGATGAATGCGAGGTTAACATGAAATCCTTTGAAGCGTAATTCTTGACTTGATTCTGCTGATGTGATCATTCTAGACCAGAGGGAGGAGGGCTACACTAGAATTGTGTTTCTATTAGACCTTGAGTGTTGAATGAGCGTATTACCGGAGGCTGGACTCTGGTCATCTGACGCGTCAGGCGTGCACAATTGTTCTTCAGCACGCTGGAGATATATGGATTGTCCCGGTTGAATAGATAGGCTTGTCCACCCCTGATTGTTGTGTGTAGCTTGATTGATGGTACCCTTCTAGGGGCTCATCAGTTAGGTACAGTCCATTAATTTCCGTAAACATCATGTTCCACTTGAATCACTTCATTGCAGATTAAGCAGATGGGTCGGTTTGAAGTAGAAAGAGAATTGATGCTTCCAGAAGAGTTTGGTGAACAATCGGTGGATTTTTGTAATAAATTCATTACTTGTGCTCCAAACGCTCCTGAGAGATGAGCTCTTGATTGGTTCCAAACATTTTCCGGTTGAATGGTAACTAATGCACTCGCTGCCTATTTGCCATTTACTGGATTGGTGACTCAATACACTTCATATATGGGATCATATGCTCTCAGATAATGCTTTCTTGACTTGGTCTTCCTTGTTTTCCATAGAGTTATGTCAACTCATTCAATTTGGTCTCCTGAAACGTTCGTTTGAGCCAGGTGCATCTGAGGGTGAACCACTGCCTTTGTACGAACTCCGCCTCGCCAATTCACTTTACACCTACGTCCAGGAGAATGCTGATGCCTTAGCATGTTCCCTGTCTGGACAACTGAGTGCACGCCTCATTGTGAATTTAACGTGCGAATCATTGTCCGATAGTGAGAGGAATGGCACAGACCAGTTGCTTAGCGAGGACCTGGTATTCCGCGTACTACTGTGGGCACGGCAACGTATTGTTTCCGGACAACGGCTGGCTCGGTCTGGGAGCGAGGAAAACGTACAATCGGATGACGAAGAAAGTGATGGTGGAACAAGTAGCTCTGGATCGGCTACCTTGGAGAGGAAGACCAAGCAAACCCGCGTCCCCAACCTTTCCCTTGACCGATTAGATTGGCTAAGCACTGGTGCCAGTTGCATATCCGCACTTGAAATCGGGACCACTTCAGAGAGATACCGACCCGGCACATATGAACTGAAGGATGCAAGTTGTAAGAATGTAACAAACGAGACACTGCAGTGTAAGCACGCTGCCACCCAAGATATTCGAGTAAGTGAATCACATGCCTTTCGTTGTATCTTACCTACATAACGTTACGATAGCAATGAAGTTTTCTAGTATCGTTAGCTACCAAACACACGATTAGGACTAAGCATTAATCTCAGCTATGAATCCAACTGCTTTTTACAAAATATGTTTCCATCGCCATTATCATTGATTTCCTGCTGTTCTCTAACCGATAGACTTGTCGAATGTTTACGCTGTCTGTTGTGTGTGGATTTAAGAGGAGCCTTTGTTTTAGACTATCACGCAAGTTCTTAACTTCGTTATAGCCATTCTAATCCGAAGACCAAGCGGTATTACGAATAGCCCATTATGACATGCATCTCCTCACAATGTCAAGTAGTATCTAGACGACAGTCGAACGCAAATGAAGAGAGGTTTCGCATAGACGACATTGTTCCTGTAGGACCGTTCTACTCGATCGCTTTTCATGTGACCACTGCTGGGTAAGACAGAACCCTCACACAGAGTTGTCAACCCAGTCGTCGACTGGAACATCCCAGCACGTCTAAACAATATATGAGATCTGGCGGTGATTGCGGGCTAGAGAGTATTTCTGATGCAGTAAAAAACGCACCTGGTCAGGGTTGTATGGAGAATGTGACTTTATTCTTTTCTCTTTGAGCCACCTAAATAGGATTCTCGCTGGCTACTCCATTCACTTCGGGTTTCAGATCACCCTGGACGTGGAGGAGCTACCTACCGCGACCCCCACGACATTTTCCTGCTTCTATGCTGATGATCAGAACGGAACGGCCGACTCACAGGTGAGGCTTTTTTTTGGGAAAGCAATAGATTTCTATTAGGCCTCCTGTCTACCTACCCATCTTTCTGAAGAGTCCGTAATTTTTATTCCAAAAAGTGTTCCCAATCCACGAGAATGATTATGACTCTCACCACCTAAAGAAGAAATACTCATTTATTTCAAGGGCCACATAATTTTGTATAACGTGACTTACGAGACACGAGCCGTGCCTTCTAGAGTGTTGGAAACCCTAGTTGAAAAATTATGTTATACGTGAAACTCCGGAGTTATTGTATCTAATTCATAGACTTTGTACTCTGTAGAGACGATATAAATGAGTGACACTCAACCATTTAGCATAGCAGAACTTAGTTAGCTACAGTATCTAAGTGATGAAGTTGTGGGTAGGTGAGCACCTGGGAACGTTACACCTCTCATTCTTCTGCGAAATAAGGACGAATTTTCGCTACTGACCTTTTCCACGATCATTTATCAATTCGTGTGTGTAGACTGTAGGAAACTGCCTAAACGAACCAAAGGACACTATTCTTGTCACGTCATCTTGGGAGCCAACGATTGTACACAGAGCTCTATCTCATCTTACGTGGTTGAAGTGGACCCAACCAATCGTTCCAATTAGGGGCCAGTGGATTCACAGTTGGTGCATCATCACCTAGTTATAGCCATAGGATGCGATGGAAGTGAGGTCGTATCCCCGTCTGTAGTCCCAACGCTATCATTTTCTTTCATAATTTACGGTTACTGTCACCATTTATAAGACCGCCCGAGACCTTCATTACCTGTGGACTCTCGTTTCACTGTCATTTCCTCCATATCCGTGATATGTACACGTTGTCGTCCACATTTAGCCGCCATATTTGTGTCAGTGTGCGCTTTGCCGAATTTTTTATGTTGTGGCTTCGGTCGTTGGCATATTAAATGACATTGACAGTAACTGATCTAACCGTGCTTGCTGGGAAATGTCCATGCTGGAATGCAGACTATCATACTATAAATCGCGAACTTACACTTCAAGGCGGCTGACAGATCCGGTTGGAATAAAAAGGTCACAAGGTTTTGCTAACTGTTACATCTGAAAATGTACTTGTGATAAACCGACCGGTCTACTTATGTGCCTATCCGGACATGTCACTCCATATCGCTAATGATGCGAACCATCGTTCAGTTGTAACACCCGGTGCCTAGCTACCATGCCACCTGAAGGAAGCACGAGGGCTGGGATACTGCCAGGTTGCCTAAACCTAAACAGGGGAAATCGGGAAGCAGAGGTCGGGTTCGAACCACGGACCTTCCGGTCAGTAGGTTCGCGCTCTAACCACTCGAGCCATCTCGCGATCTAATGGTGCTCTCTGGCTAGGTGACAATTCGCATCAACCACCATGCACCATTCGCGTGACAACTGCGTTATAAGTCCATCCAACAATTCCCACGGAGAGATCATTTTGTGTAATCTAGCCGACCAGCTAAAATGAGCCTATGCGATGCCGTGCGAATTATGCAAGACAACTTGTCAATGGACCATCGTCAGCTGATCGCTCTAGGTTGCCTAGGAGACTCAAACGTACGTATCACAACCATAATGGTGCCTAGGCAAACGGTCCTACAGGCCTTTCCCGTTAGTTCGCTGCAATGCACAAGATCAGGATTCAGCTTTGTTNAATTCACTCCATCCAGGTAAACACTGGTGACGAAATTGTATGAAAAGTTATATCCGATAAAATGGGTATTATGCTCAGGAAACATCTTACATGGTATAATGTAGCGTTGTCTTTATTTGTCGTGGGTAAGCTCGATAGGGATCTTATAATTGTCTGACTTCGTCATGGCGTCAACCTTGCATACCTTCCATTTTTTCAAAGATAGAAACTGGAGACGATGTTATGACACTGATTTACGTCAACCACTGCCAAGCTCGGTGAATAGACCAACAACCAAAAATCAACGAATATGACTTAACGTAACTGGGAACTAAACATCCGGTTTCGGTCTACTAGCATTCGTACTCTCGGCCTCTGTCCGTCTGACTGCAATAGGCCATTCTGGTTCGTTGTTTACGTCTGTAATTGCTGGCTTAGTAGACTGCACAAGACATTCTCAAAACCCGATTTTATAGTTCGTGTCCTTTCGGCGCGTGTGTATGTTTGTCTAGTTCTACTTTTGAATGTATGGATCCTACAGTGCCTCATATGCAAACCATGTTTTGGAGGCCCTTTGGGTTTGACTATATGAATTATTTGTGTGTATGTGCAAAACAAGTACCATCCAATAGTTTTGTCCACCCGGAGTCAATAACCAAGAATGCAATCTGGTCTGTGGTCGGTTATGACCGTCGATAAAAAATGTCTGCATTCCGTTCATTCCATCATTGGATTTTTATCTTATTTATAGAATGCGTACTACTTCATACGTATATACTGACGTCATACAGTAGTGTTGATGTATGCGCGATAGTTCTTATTTCCATAAGAGAGAAAGCCTATATCCTAACTTGTGTTCTGTTTTGTTTCTCATCTCTGGGCCATCATCGTAAACGTGGACAATTTGGTGAATTTCAGTTTGCCATTTGCCATAGGTACATTCGTCCTATATTTTCCGGAAAGTGGGAGATACACCCTAGTATTAGAGGCTATGGCATGTTCAGATAGTTCTGGGGCTGATTAGCTGCACATTGAAGGCGATAGCTTTGATGCACAAGCGCCACTGACTATGCGATTGGGCAATTTCTGCCAGTGTCATTAACCATTGGTGAGTTGACTCCCCGGGTCCCCATCCAGCGAGACGGTTGTTGTCAGTTCGACTCAGTTTACTGGTTAGTGTTTTCATACGATTTTACCAAGTCATATATTGTCCACCTCTTGGTCACCTCCACTCAGCATAGGGTTGGGTGAAAAGAGCTGTGTAAGGCAGATGGTCCTCTGGTATTCGAAGTACATATCCTAACCAGTGTAACCCCTGCCAACCTATGGAATATAACCTATCTGTCGTGGGAGAGTTCCTTCCTCCCAAAACCATCTGGCGTACATTAACATTGCTAATTCGATGTTCCCACCAGATCCGACAAGTGCTTCGGAGACACCGATGGTATGTCATTTACGTGCAGAGGTCACGCTTCTGGTCTATAAAGCAGGCTCACACTACCACAGTCTAAACTCTGCTCTTGACAGACAAAATGATGTCACGTCGGTGCCATAGACGTCGGAGGTTGGCAAAAGCTGCCACGTCATCCCTGATTCAAGAAGTAATCTTATCTCCAGCCACTCCACGAGAACTAATACAACCGCCCAGGCAACCAAATTTACCCATCACGTCGATTGGCTCATCCGTAAGCATACAGTTTGTGTTTGATCCGGGCTCGATGCCTTATCGCGTTGAATGAGTGATATCTCACGCTGGATTTCTGTTGTCGCCGGCGGGCTGATGTCAGTTTTCCATTCATGCATGCTGCGTTCTTCCAGAGGTTGTGTTGAAATTGACCAGCTAGAGTGTTCTTTGAAATGACCCGCACACCGGTCAAAACCGCGATTAAGGGAGTGAATTGCCGTTCTCTTTCACTGACACCTACCTTCTTTTGAACGTTTGATCGAATCAGCTGAAATGGGGCGCGGCTGTTGCCTGCAGCAAAAGCCTTCTCCATTTCCTGGACCTTCGAAATTCACCAGTGTTCTCTGTCATTTTTCAAGCTTCTGAATATCCGGTGTTTGAAGGATCTGCGTGCACTATCACAGTCTTTACTGCTGTTATGGTCTTTCTGGCAGCAATAAGATCTACTGACTTCGACGGTATCCAGTGTTCATTTAGTCGAGTCAGATGGCTTGGATAAACAGTTCTGAAAGCCCAGAACGTTGCTTCGTAAACTCGCCTTCGATGTACACTTCCTCATCCGCATTTCTCTTTGTTCGCAGTGGTTTTCCGGTCATGTCAGCTGGATTCTCTTGAGCATCTGAAACTTGTCATAGTGGATGAATTGAATTGCTTCGGCAGGTGTAATTCTGAGGGACAGGGAAGTGATAACCGGTCCTGCGTAATGGCATGATCGGTGTCAAGTTGTTTACCCCAGAAGGAACGGCAATTTTTAATTTAGGCTTTTCATTGGTAACTGTTATTCACATGGCCCAATTTAGTCTATGTCTCTCTTTTCTTTGGTGGCCCCCAAGTAACTCGATATGAGCGTTTGTGCTCGAATTTCTTACTTGCCAGGACCAGACAGTGATCAGCACACAACCGAAATCGCTGCTCCCGATTATCCGTACGCAGAACATCGACTCCAAATCACTCCAGTCACTGCAGTCGGTCTCAGACTCAGAACTGCAGTCTGTCGGGCGTGTGTTGGTACGAAAAATAGACATCACCTATCGCATTGACCTGGACCGATCTTAATTGAACCAGACAGCCGCACAGCGTAAAGACGACTGTTTACTGGGATCCAGTCCAGTTAAGCGCTTTCAGTCTTGGGGTTGAGTGCAACTCCCTTTGACCACGAGTTATTGCGCTAGAATCACCAGATACCCGAAGAATGAAATTTGGGCTATCGTCCTAAACGGCTTGAGCTGCACGACCAAGGTAAAGTCTTGGGTATGTGTTTCGGAGACACAACACATTGACAGAGAGGGAAAGTGAGGTTTCAGTAAAGAATGCCTGTTGCCCAGTTTGACGTGAAGCATGAACACTGGAGACCACAATGTAGATCAGATCGTTTCGGGTCATTAAGTGATTATATTGGTTTATTTTTTCTTTGGTGAGGGTTTAGACAGTACGATTGGTAGGGGGCTGGCAGCTGGGTTGATCGCATTGCATCATCCTATAGGTGGGAAGGGGTTTGGGGGGGTGCTTTTGAACGAAGAGTTACAAGGGTTGCCCAAGCGCTGAGAATGCTACAATCATGAAAAGTTTAGTCAAGGTGTTGTCCTACAGTCGAAGAAAGAGGGCAAGGTACTCTTGCTATGATTACATATTCGGACAACCGATAAAACTATCCGTGTCCGGAATGAAAATAGCATCGTC